AGGTAAACTTTAGGCAAACTCAGCAATTCCTTTAGTAGCATCTAATTACAGTCTCTATTAGATGGGGCAATTTATAGGGTGAACTTCAAATAGAAAAAAATGTGTAGAATTGTATTTCAGCTCAAAATCTTTCAGTTTTAAGTATATCCATCTATATATAGCTCAGATTATCTATAAATGAGAAAGGGACATATACCTTTCTTGAATTTTGTGCCACCAATTACTACTACTTCTTTGGTCTCTGTAGCAATAGTGACTTCATGAACTTTTTGACTAACCTCTAAGTCTGTGTGTCTGTGTATTTTTAGGTTTTGTACCATTTAGCATTTGAAATAGTGTTTACTATCGCACTGTGCATGGAGGTTCAGGGTGGTCTTTTTAGAAGCTGAGATAAAAATGAATCAGCTCTCTGTGTTTGAAAAGTCTCGCCTAAAGTGCGGTTGTCTGCATTGGCTTGTCAATGGATGTTTATGAGCTGAGCATAATCCTGTAACGGCAATAGCAATGAAATATGTCCTGTGCAGATAGCTAGTAAAGGGGCATTCGAGCACTGATGCTAGTGGAATTTTAATGTTTCAGAGATGGGAAACATGGTGTCTGCTCTGGTTATTGCTGCTGTTACTGACCACAATAAAAATGGGGATGAAATCAGGTTTTAAATACTGTGACAGAACCGTATCTGCACACCTCACCAGCAGCGAACATGCCAGTTTCTACTGCTATCTTGTTTTCCTCTGTTGGCTTAGCTCACTGTAGAATAGCCGTGTTTCTGATATTTTTCTTTTGGGTATCTTACTTCCCTTATTTATTGTGAAGCCCAAAAGAAGGGGCATTGTTAATAATAATTTCAAGGAAAGTGTCAATAAAACACATCACTACTAAGGAGATTTTCATGATTGCCTGAAGTATCACGAGTACAGTTAAAGCTGTCAGAGCTGACTGAGTTTAGTCTTGTTACCACTTGTTAACCGTCAGTATTCTGTTCATGGTGCCTTCTTACTTAGTAGATTCAATTTCTTATGGTAAAATTCTGTAACATAATTAAAATTTCATGGGAACTCCACATTAAAGGGAAAGTTGGGAATGTTAGTAGATTTCCAGATTTACTTTTGAGGCAGAGAATCATACACCCTAGACTGGCCTAGAACTCATGTATCTGAGGTTGACCTTGAACTCCTAATTATCCTGCTTCTACCTCCAATTTTTGGGATTGCAGCTTGTATCGCCAGCCTAGCTATCTTCCCAGATTGTGATGATTCATACCAAGTAAACTATTGCCTAGAACTCAGTAAAATCAGTTGACATCCAGCCTTGAGTCGCAGAGGATTCATTTTGTAGAATGTTACATGGAGAACAGTATGGCTTCAGCGTTTCACATGTCCAAACTTCAAGTTTATGTTATCCGTTTCTGTGTAATTCAGGTTCAATTCAAGTAAATCCTCATTTGTCATCTACATAGTATTATCTGTATTGTACACCATTAAAGGCTTCCAGAATAAAAGAGGGAAAGTAGATGAAATAGGGCCTTTTGCATAAGGGAGAGGGCAAAGAGATGCTTTGTTGGAGGACTGTGAAGGTTAAGGTGAATAGGGATATTCCTTATGATTGGGAAAAGTAAGAAGTAAGAAATTTACATTAATTTATATTTACATGACCCTGCACTACTTCTAAAGAAGTGGTGAGAAAAAACAAAGCTTCAGAAGAAAAAAATAGGGTAATGATTACTGGCCAAAATCAGGTTCCGTTACATCAGAAGATGGACTGTAATGATCACTCACTACTTTAAATCACCCTGCCCAGGCTGAGCTCCCTACACCCAAGGCAGAAAGAGAAAAAGACTAAGTTAAGTTGTGGTGTTTGTGTAGCAAGATGGAAGCAAGTGAGCTTAGCCTAAGCTTTTGCCACCTCCAAGTGAACTGATCCTTTAATATCAATATTGTAAACATAATTATCTAAAACCTAGTCTTCTCCCTATATATCCAATGGTTATACAGACTCTTTATATTATGAAAAATTATAGGGATAATATTAGAATGTTGGAGATCTATGAAGACATAAGAGCTATAAAAATAAAATTAAGGTATATGAATAGTTCATTCACCTTTTAACATAAGGTCAGATTAAATTTCTGTATTAGTAGTCATTAAACTAAAGTTTTAGTACAGACAAAATCTTATATAGCCTGGACTTAAATAATCTTTAAGATAACACACAGCAGAGCTCCTTAGGTGAGACTGGGTTTGAGTTCTTCACTTGTGCCACTCCAACCCTGGTAGCTTTGGAGGCACCAGAAGAATCCATTGTAGTTCATAAACTACAGAGTGAAAACATCATTGATTTAGAGAAATAGATGGCTAATATTTCACACAGGGTCTTCTCCTCAAAAAGAGTTTTGTAGTTGTCTATAAAGAAAGGATTTTCAAACTATTTTGCTATGTACCAAAACCATGGGTATTTTGTGTTATTAATTGAACAGAGAAACATGTGCCCTAGCTAGCAATGTGGCTAAAAAGTTTGATGTATGAAAATTGCCGATTCTCCTTTACCTGTTAAATGTGATGAACCACCGGATACATAAGCAGTATACTACACTTGGTGTCACCATGTACTTACACACATATGAACAAACATATTTAAAAATGTAGCCAACTATAACTGTTGTAATTTAAGAAAAGCAGCTGGAGAGAGAAAGACACTATTTTCCTTTATCTTTTAAAGATGCCTATTTTCTTGGCCACATGGTATTGAGTTAGGTGAATTATAATTTGTTTTCTGAATTATTGAGCAGAAATATAAATTGACATTATAGTTTCACTATTACAAAATCCCATGGTGAATATTTGAAGTCCCATCGTTAGATTAGAGTCAAAGAATAGAAGTGTTTTCAAACTGTTTTTTATTGTTGCTTGCCATATAGATTGTGCAAATTTATACTTCCACTTAAATTATATCTGAATTGTTTCCTTGCTACAGAAACTCAGTAATTATGTAATATGTCCAATATAAGGTTGCATAAAACAGTATGCTTTAAAAGGAAGGCAGTTTTACTTCTCAAAAGTTATAGCTTTTATTAGATAAATAATGATGACCTGCAAAGATGCATAAAATGATGCCAGTTATCAACATAAAAACTCCTTTCTTACATGCTAGAAAACATTTAGTTTAGGTTGCCTGTGAGTGATATTGTTTCAGAATTAATTTGCCTAATTGATTTGTTTATTGAGAAAGATCAACAACTTAATAATTGAATTATCACAATGAGTTTATAAGGCAATGTGACTTAAAATACTTAGTTATAGCCTAAAGTGAGTACTAAGTTCATGTTTGTTCTGCCTAGGTTTAGTTTCTTTAAATAGTTAACAAATTAATACTGCTAATAATTTCACGTAGAAAATGAATAAATTGAATCATATTTCTACCGAATTCAAGGAGATATACATCTTCAAAGCAAGAAAAAGAAATGTACTCATAATTCATCTTGAAAGTAATGAAGTGTTATGACATTGATTTAATTTTTATTGACAAATGTTATCACTCAGACATGGCTCAGTCATTTGTAGAGCATAAAATTCAAGCTAGTTGTATTGATGCCTAAATATGCAATATAGGTGATGCTCAATGTATCAGAACAGTATATGTGGATTTCATAAATGGGTAGAGCATGAACATAAATCTAGAAAAATAATTAGAGGAAATACCGAGTTAAAAATTCAGAAAACTGAGTAAATTATATATTCAAATTAACAAATATAATTTATGATTTATGATATCTATTATCATCTAAAACTCACACCCGACTTCTCATGTTAGGTACAAACTCATAAAATTGGTATTTGTAGAAATATTGTTGCTTCTAAAATTGTTTAGAAGACAACAACCTTGATGGACCATTGCCTTTTAGTAGAAGTTGATAGAAACCCGAGCTCTTTCCAGTCTTTATGTTTTCTGTTTTCAAAATATCTGAAATTTCTAAATTTGTTGAGCAGTTATGTTTGAAATGAAAATTAACAAAAAATAAGCTTTTATGTTCTAAGTTCTCTTCTTGCACAATATATTTTAAGTTGTTTTTAATGTCCCCATGCTTCAAATATTCCAGAGCACCCACGTTTAGGGGAGCTCCAACATGATGAGCTTTTGAGAATAGATGTAATAGCAAATGGAAAAGTCTTAATCATATGATAACTCTGGCCTCAACTGGAAGACAGCAGGCTAGCTTTCGGCCCGCATAGGACTCTGGTAGCTCAATAGCATCACACCAATGAAAGAAAGGAGAGTCTGTGTCAATAGTTGGAAATTTTATTTCCAGCTAATTCTTGGATTGTGACTAGTCTATGAATCAATATGACCACACAACGTTCATATTTAGAAGTTGGGCTGGAAAATGCTCTTTGAAAATGAATAAATCAAATAAAATAGTCTCAACTTGGGAGAAAACAGTGTCTATAGTGGTGTGAAAAATGGCTCGGGGCAACATTGGACAGGATCAAAAACAAGGCTGTGAGCTACAAAAGCCATTCATAAATACAGCAAAAGAAAGGCATCTATATCCAGTCTCTTGTTTACTTATCCTCAGTTTTTGTGACTTTTTAAATACACTCTTCATGTAAACATTTTAGAATCAACAAATAACAAAGAAAGTCCTACCATTTTATTTCATCATAAAGACATATATGGCAATGTCTTTGACAGTTTGATTTTTACGAAGGTGGTGCCACACTTCAGACAGCACTAAGAACGTTTTAGTTCCATGATGATTTTTTTTTTCCTATGTGGATTTTACCTTGTCATCAAATAAGTGAACTTTCTGTAGAAGAAAAAAAAAAGTAAAATAAAACCTGAGCCATATGGTATTGAGCCATAGAAAATGTGACTTTGTGACTCGTGTGGACATTGTTCTGAGCTTGGGCATCGTTAGCTGTGTCACGTTAAAGAAGATAGCTTTAAAGCTTCTTTTAAACAACTGCTTCAGTATTTCACTGTGGATCTCCTTCTTTCCTCAGGGCCGATGCATAAACTTCTCCAGAGTTCCCCATCAATAAAAGGAGAGCACAAACAGTGAGAAGAGAAGACGGCACATCTTCGTGATGCCGATTTCCAACAGAATGGACAGTCCAGTGCATCTCAGAAGTTCTTGGAACAGCAAGCACCCCAGTCCCTCTGTGTCAGGAAATGTTTTCTCTGCCTTCTGCTTTCTGTGCACCAAACATTTTCATACACTTCCTCTGCCATCTACATGAGAGGCGATGAAACTCGGCCATAACTCGTGATTCATGACACTGAAGATACAGCGGAATGCTAATTTGCATGCTACGGTTTATGCAGAGCTCATTTGAATGTGTAAGAGGACAAAGCAGACAGTGATGATGCAAAGATGAGACCAAAGCAAAGACTGAAAACCTACCAGCCTTGCGGCTCTGTAATGGTGAATGGTGCTTTTGACATGGATGTAGAGTGTGTGTGCTTTTGTTTGGCAAGATCTTCAGTTACATGCAGATCATGAAATTTCCTTCCAGGCTAAACAAATAAGGGAGTCAACTGCCTTGAAGCTATGTCAGATAGCTAAAGCCTTCGAAGTCCTCTATTACTTTGTGCCTTACGGGAGATTTCTGACTAGAAAATCTTGTCACTGTTACACTGAAAGTGCACACGCATGACAAAATGTAGACGAGATGCCTCAAGGTACTGGATGCAAGCAGGATTTTGCCCTTTAGTTTTCCAAGACACCTTTCTTTCATTATGCACTCGGGACAAGAGAATTAATAGAGCGTTAATTCAACAGGAAGACCGCCTCCAACCAAAGACCTGGCGTGCAGCATAAGGACTCATGATTTGAGACCTTGTCCCCAGACTGGTAGATTTCCTTTTCTCAGTGTTTACGATTTAGCAGTACGTAAAGCGTTAATATCTGTAAACACACCTAGGTGTTTGTTTGGCTTTTAATTTAAGGAAGCAGTAGCCACCAAGCTTCCGCTCAGGGTTTTTTTTTTTTTTTTTTTCCTTCGTTCAAGTCTCCAAGGGCTCTTCAGCGTCACAAGCCAGCAACTCTCTTTGCATGAAAATTTCAAAGTTTAATTAATATAATTAAAGGCAACAGCAAGCAGCAGCCTGTGAAGACTTTGCTCATCTTTTTTATGCCTTTTGACATTGAATGACCTACCACTGTATGCATGTTACTTGGGTATTGAGAAGCACCGCGCCTTGGTTGTGATTCAGCCATAGAAAAAGACTTCCTTTCTTCAGTTTATAAATTAAAATCAGGAGGGGCGCCATCGGGAAGCATCGACAATATACGTACTATAAATTTTTAGAAATATCACCATCGTGTCACATCAACGATGCCAAATTATGTTAGCGTGAGCAGAAACACGGTGGGGGAGGAAGGCGGCAGCAGCTGAAGGAAATAGCTCAGATGATCTAGTCACTTTCGATACTGTACTTCAGATGCGAAATGGATATTCGACTGGAAACCTGACAAAGCGCGCCTGCTTTGATGGGAACTGGTATAGACAATGACCAGTGGCCGGGTCAGTGGGATGTCTCTCTGTGAGCACAAAGGCTTATCAAATGACACTAAAAATAAGTTCAACAACCATCACTTTGGAAGGGAGAAGGCGAACATTTTATGTTTGGCGGGCATGTGAGTGCACAAGACGGAAAAAGCGATTTGGAGCATCCCGGTATAATTACCCACATTGTGCTCTTTATGGAAATTTCAAAGGGCTGCAGTGATACTTTTGGTCAGTGTCCAGGTTTGTGGCATTGCTCCAAGAAGCCTTACGCACACACACAAATATACAAATGCACACACATATTCTCTAGCTTGAATGTTTTTTGCTCAAGCTTATTTATATCACTGACTGGCTGGATCCAAAGTCACACTTTCACATATTAAAGAATAAATTTTTTTACCCAAGTCTTTGTTATCAGTTTCTTTAAACTCACATAGAATTTATACTCTCTTCGGTTGAATACATAACTCCTTGGTTAGTAACAAGAGAGAATTCTATTCAATTGCAAAATGTCCAGTGTTTCACAGTTTATTCACAGTTGATGTTATGGGTACAATCTATGTGTGCACGGGCAATGTGGAAGGCTGATAAGTACACCCAACTCTCTCTGTGAGTAAGTCCTTGTAGGTATTTGTCCTGTGTCTGTGTCTAGAGCAGACTTGTGGCTCCTTTCTCCAATAGGCAACTTCCTTACTGATGCAGGCATGCCTTGTCCATCAGCAATATTTTAAGAGCATCAGAAATACTACAGAAGCTCTGGATATGTTTCTTTGGTAACCACTTTAAATTTTTACAGAACCATGTAACATATTTGCACCATGAGAAATGTAAATAAACCTCTGCCTTTAAATGGCAAAATAGCTTTCTTGAGATTTGTTGCACTGGCTGGAGATGTGTAGTAAAAATACAACAAAGAGGTGTAAATGAAGAGGGTGAGTCACGAGTCTATACATAGACTGAAAAAAGTATCATTCGTAAGGTTCAAAGACAGATGGAATTTCATTGCCCTTAAAGTTATGAACCATAGTAATGTTATGCTTTAATCGTGAATCTTAACCAGAAAGGAGAAGAATTTGTTTCTAAAATTAATCTTCTTGGCAAAGGACATTGAAACTCTACATGACACTTTTCATCCATAGCAATAGCTCCCATGTGATTTATCTGGACATGATGTCAGTTGAGATCTCCTTCTTTGTACAAACAAATGAGTCTTGTCCATCATCCATTTGTGTTGCATAAGGTTGCAAAAGCAATTAAGTGGGAAATGACTCCTAACTTATGTGTCTCCTCTGCCTAGAAAGAAAGTTTTGAAGGCATCTATATATATTTCATAACAATGTCTGTTCTTTATGGATTTGATCCATAAATATTTATCTATCTGAAAACTTTGATACTTGGAATGTTTTCCATAAAGCATTTGGTGCTCCAAGAAGAAACATTTGGTGCTAAGAGTTGCAGCGCTGATGCCTTCCCCCAAGTTAATTCTATTTTAAAAAATTATATTTCCTTCCCAATGAGATGCAGAGTAAAACTCGAGAGTCTCCATTGACTAAGGAGCAGCATCTGTCATCTATGGTTAATTACTATTTTGTTAAGAGTGTGTAAGGTTTAAAACCTTATATTTCAATTTGTTGGAAAGATTTGCTTGTATTTCCAATGAACTTTGTTCTAATTATTTAAGTAACTGACAAATCATTCATTTTTTAAAAATAAATTCTTGCTGGATATGTAATATCTCTATAGACTGAACTTCATTGGGTAATACTCTCCCTTATTTACTGTTCAGAGATAGACTTATTTCTTTATTTAAGGTTGAAGCACTGTCTGTATTATGGCAAGCAAGTTAATGGAGACATTTCTGATTGATTGGCTCACCAGATGTTGGGTTTTCTGAAGACAAAATATAGTAAGGTTATAAATACAAGATTAGAAAACCTTGTAATTTCTTCCTTTGCATGTTCTGATTAACTTTTATTAGATTTTCATTCCAATTACATTAGTAAAGTGGTGGGTATATGCACTTATAGAAGATATATACATAACACACACACACACACACACACACACACTGCTTAGAATTATTAATGCATCTTTTGTACAGTTAAGTACTAGGCTGGTGAAGTTAGAGAAGGTTTTCTGTAGTCAGTGTAGCTATAGTCAAGTCTCATTAGATTAATGTTATATCTAGTCAATTTCTATGGCATATTCTGAGAACACTTTAATTTTAGTATATTTCTATATTTACTAGAATTTTATTCCATCCATTGGGTAAAAGAAGGAATAAACTTATTGAAAACCCATAATGTAGCAGGCCTCACACTACTTTCTAAAATATATTTTTGTACTTCTGCCAGAAGAAAATTCTAATATGAAAGTACACAGGATACCATATACATTTATATATAAATCTTCCTGTTTGGATTGCTTTACTCATTAGTCAGCTAAGAAGTAGGTAAGGGATGTCCTGTGTGCAACCTAGCCTGACCAGCTGGCTGATTGGCTTGAGAAGCCAAATGTTCATCCATAGCCTGGAGATAAACTGAAATATGAAAAGCTCTTCCCAGTTCTGATGATTTAAATGGTGACATCAGAGACTTTAGTATTTACCTCAAAATTGTAATGATTGCCTTCTCCCTTGTAAAGTTTGGCAGTATAAGCTCTACAAACTGCCAATTTAGTTACAGAAAAGACACTGAACTCTAACATATAATTTGATAATTAAGTCACTATAGAGTAATTTCTTAGTTATTTATTTTTTGCAGTAGAGTTTGTCAGAGAAACTGGTACTATAGTGTCTTACAAAATTAGAAGGTGAGCAAGATGTTGGTAAATGTATTATTACAGTTCATTCTGATCTTACAGTCTCTCCAGGTATCTCAAAGTGCATATAAAAAGGAAAAAAATAAAACAAACCCTAAAATAAACAAAAAAACCCAACCTGTTCTGAAGTAGTTACGAGATAGTTTATACATTATTGAAATTTGAAATTTGAATGTTCCCCTAGTCAACACTGAACAAAAAAATGCCCACTTAATTAACTAATTAACAATAACAATGCTTGTATAGCCCATAGCACATAGACAGCAGGAACTATTTTGTTGAGTAATTTGACACAGTTTAGGAGCTGTAGTATATTTGGGCAGTTAACCTTGCAAAAACTCACCTGGTCTTAATGTAGAAGCCTATTGTAAGAATTCCATTATCTGCCTCCCACCAAAAGAAGTAAAAGAAACAAAGAAAAAATCCTAAACTTTTTCTCCTAATCCTAATCATGGTAAAGTTATTTGTATCTCCAATGTTATCTTTATAAAATTGCAAGTGTTAGTCATAATACAAAGTAAATTTTAGACACAATTAAAATGTCTATATAAGTATACTCAATTTAACTTGAAATATTAGAAAAGAAATCACAGAGTTATGCCAGTAGGCCATTAAAATTAAATGCATTGCTTTCATAAAGGAAAAAAACAAGGTGATGGCAAACAATTTAGATACAAAGGGGCTAAGCATTTTCAAAGCCATGGATAAGGGAACTCATTGCATCATGTGTTAAATAAGAAAGAAGTCTAAATCTTTTGACATGCTCATGGACTCCACCATCTGATTTGTAACAGTAATTGGGTAAAGAAAAACTCAAAATGTGAAACAAAACTGACCAGTTCTAGCAGATGATATCTATAAATGGAATTTTGACTTGATGAAATTCTGATGTGAAATGAGACAGTTACCATGATTACACAATTTCTTTTCCAGTTCTTTTACTTTTTGAAACATCTTTCAAGTCTAAAGTTTTCTGCTAATTAAACAGAGCAATGACAGACCTTCATTTTCTTTAAATACTTTGTTTGTGTGAGGCTGTCACACAGAAATAATGATTATATTTTAAACAATATGTTCAAGTGTAAAAATCTTCAACAAATTCTTACTGTTTTATGGGAGAAATTTTGAGGCATTTTGTAGCGAACATCTTGAGATTCCTCTAAGGAGAAGAATAGTCCTGAAAATTGGAAAGATTTGTAAATAACTTTAAAAAGCTACCAGGGAGTACATCATGACCTACAGTGTACTTTTTGGGATATTCAGTGGTATACAGCACAACACTAATAAGAAAGTTGTTGCAGCATCATGGTTGCCTAGCAACTAGGTGTTGCCATTGTCCAGCAACTACTAACCAGATGCATTTTGAATACTATACCAGTATTCAAAAATTTTCAAATTATTTGAAGTATTCAAAAGTTCTTATTAAAGGGAGAAAAGCTGATTCATTTAGCTTTCTGGATACACATAGTGTATTTCTCAAGTTCCTAAACTAGGCCTCATAAACAGGCCTACAGTCAGTTTTCTTTAAAAATATTTCCCATAACTTCAAAAGTCAGTTTGATAAAATTCACCTCAAGGTTATAACCACATATGTTCATAATTTCTGGCTTTGAGAACCTTTAATATCAGCTAAATTGAGCAGAGATAGTTTATTTCACTTTCCTGTGGCTAATGCAAGAACACGTTTAGAGTCTCAATACAACACAAATTTATTCCCTCCCTATTCTGAAATCGGTTTCAATGGGCTAATATTGGATTAAGGTCTCTTTATTTCCAAGCACAGCCGGGTGAAACACAGGCCAGAGCTAGGTTAAGAACCCAGCCAGCGCAGCCAGAACAAAGAGAGCGAGCCGTCCCCACGTGCAGTCCTTTAAGAAGCCCCCTTTACGTCATCTCGGCTTTCCTTCACCCCGCCCTTATGGGCGAGTCCCCAGGTCCACCTGGTACCTGCCCCAGGACTATTGGGCGGGGCTAGGGTGACTCCCTACAATTCCCCTTTTAGTCTAAGAGAGGATTAAAACTTAATAGTGTAAAATATCCAAAACTAACAATCATAAGGGTGGAATACAAGAATATACAATAATCCGCTATGATACATCCTATGTCTATTCTAGCTAAGACTTAAAGTCATGTGAAAAAAGTGTCTAACTTGAACACCTTCTTCCAATCCCAACTCTAAACAATAAGAAGGTTATTTCAAATAGATTAGTTTTTTTCTAGAAGCTTTAAAAAGACAATTCATTTCTTTTCCCTTTTCAGCTTCTGTTGCTCCCTGATATCTTTAGCTTCATCTGCCTCCAATGTGCCTCATATCAACGTCCTACAGTCATCAGCAGTTGTCTCTGATCTGTTGCCATATGAGGATCATGATGACTCTCCAGCGCCCACTCATATAATTTAGCATGAACATGTCTGTAGGCTCCCCCTTCTCCAGACAGAGTAGCAATCATGGGTTCTGGGGAGAAAGACACGAATGTTGGGAAAGGCACTATTTAGACCCCTGCAAACTTGTAAGAATCTTCTTTTTAGTAAATGTTTCCATTGAATCCACCATCATAAGAAATATACAAGTCAAGCTCATCTTTCAATGTTAAGGCCTCCCCTGTGTAAATTTATTATCATAATATGCTGCAACTGGAGTGGGGAGAGGACCTCATTCCCCCTCCTTCTCCCTCCTTGCTGATTTAAATGGCATAGCTAAGAGATAAATTTCCGGACGATGTTTGCCAGATGAAAATCTCCCTGAAGACACGGAAGCCTGTAGTCAGGGTTTTGTTTTCTCTGAATCATTTGTGCAGAAGACCATAAGTTAACTAAGCTATTCCTTGAAAACTGTCATTCAGAAAAACATTCAGGAAGGTATTTAAATATCACCAGAGACTATGGACAAAAATACAGTGATATTCTAATACTAATGTCAATAATAGACACATGGGCTTAAACAGAACTTCCTCCCACCTGCTAGCCATTTTTAATCCATAATTAAAAGTGTTTTCTTAAGGAAAGAATGTTTTTAAATCAAAGTAAACCTCACACCTATATCAATTATCATTCAAGCTGCAATTATAAAGATATCCATTGGAGTGATAAAGTCAAAATGATGAAAACAAAGGGATTAAACTCTCCAGATGGGTTTTCTCTAAGTAAAAACATTATATGTCATGAACTTTGAGATGTTTAAAAGAAATTAGTTTTTTTTCCTAGAAGCTTTAAAAAGACAATTCATTTCTTTGATACAAAAAGAATATCATTTTGATACATTCAGTAGAAGTCATTTTTGTATATTTCCAGTTTTGTATACATACATACCCCTTCCTCCAAGTACATTTTTATATTTCAAAATATTGTGAACTATTCATGATGTGAACTTTTACATGCTTTGGGATTCCCAAGACTGCCTGTATCTACAGAGTATCAGAGTTTTCAAATGTCCTTTTGCATATATTATTCATTTTTTGTTCAAAAGGTATATTCTAGATGCATACTATGTGAAGTATGCTAAATTTGCCAAGCCCTGTGGAAATGTTAATTTGTATTTTGAGAACATGGTTAGGAGGTGGAAGGATCTTCTTATGATACCCAGTAAAAATGGTTATTATAGCATGAATACTGAGTGATCCATTTAAAAAATAATGCCAATCATGTAAAGGGAGATTTAATACTCTGTGAGACCTGTTTTATGAGGCCAGGCCTAGCTAAACTCTGCACCAATCAGAGCATTCCATTTTGCTGCTACATAATTTTCATTGCACATTGAAGTCTTACTGATGAATCATGAGGCCTAAACCATTCCATTTGTTGCAAAATATTACTTTCCCTTAACTTACAGGAAAGTTAAGCCACATAAATTTAATATTCTCCAAGGGAAACAAAACAAATGCTATAAAGATTCAGCTCAGAGGCTGGCTTGAC